AATTAAATTTTTCTTCCCATTTATTCTCCAAACTTTTACTGTTTTCTTCCAATTCTTTTGCGGCACTCACGGCTCTTATGTACTCCTCTTCTGTAGTGGATTGCGCAATGCACTGCTGCTTAATGCATCTCCATACTACTGCTGCACCACCATGCACCCACAATACACCGGATGTTGACTTTCTCGTATCGATATCGCCTGCAAAGTCTGCGTCGCTGTACGTCTTCAAATTTCCGTCCTTGCTGTAGAACAGTCCAATCGTTTGCGTGACTTTCAAATAACGAAGAACTCTCTTTATCAGTTGACAATGAGCCATAATTTTCTGGATGTAACCGGCCTGGTTAATAAAGATTGAATCATTTTTATACTGATGTATTTTATTCCGAGAAAATTGTTTACATTGGTTATGACTTTGGTTTCAAATCTACTGGTTAATTGATCCAAAAATTCAGTTGCATCATGTTCATTATTTGTAACAATTATGCCGTCATCGACATACAAAAGAACAAGCAATTTGTTGGCATCACGTTCCCTGATGTATAAGCACGGGTCAGCTTAGTCCGTGATTTACCAGAAAGTCTTTGAAGATTCTATTCCATCATAGTGGTGCCTGCTTTAGGCCATAAAGGCTCTTCATCAATTTGCAAACACGATCAGTTCCGTCTTCAAAACCTTCAGATTGACGCATATTGACCTCTTTGTCTAATGTTCTAATTCTAATTTCATCAGTCAGTTTTACACCGGTGTCTTTTAAATGCAATTTAACATGTCTTTTGTCTTAATGACACACACGTTCATGCCAAAGCTGCAAAGAATTGTTCGTTGTAGCAATACACGCGATTTTTGGTGTGATTACACATAACACGATCCGATACAAATTATCGGCTTCGATAACGACGGCGATCACTTTATTGTTTCTCATAAACAAACATCGCAAATCGTTATGAGTCAGAACAAAAGCGACGCCTTTCTTAGCTGCTGATTTGACTGAAAATAAATTTCTAGCCATATCCGGTTCCTTGTAACCACTTCCCCTTGACGAACGTTTTAATGTCGATGATTTGAAATATGATCCGAAACACTTGAGTCTAGTTGTCGTCACTTTTGTCATTTAAGTTCACATGTCCAACGAACCCTTCTTTTTTTCGTGATTTTTCTTTGAACGACAGTCTTTCAATAAATGTTCCTTCGAACCGCACGAGAAACAACCCCGACAGTCATGATTTGCTTTCTGGCACAAAGAACAACGAGTTACGCTTATTTTCGATTTTCCTTCCTGAGGTGTCAACTTTTTCTTGCTATTTGACACATTACCCTTGATGTTTGTCCTGGATAACAACGCCGCTGTTGTTTCCTCTTCTTCCTTCTGTTGTTTTTCCAATCGCATTTCTTCTGTTAGCAATAGTGTCGTTAAATTTTCTAGAGTCCTCGTAGACAGCTCAGTCGAATCCCAGGCAGTGTGGAAATAATTGAACTTTGGGGGTAACGTCACCAGAATTCTCGTTATCAACATGAACGTAGGTATTTTCCCATCTTGGAAGCCAGTTGCTCAAGTTGTGAAATATGTTGCGCAATATTACCATCCGGATTCCATTTGAACTCGAAGAACTTCCTTTGCATCAAAAACAAATTTTCCTCTGATTTTGTATCGTACACGCTATGTAATTTTCTCCACATCTCTTCTGCTGTGGTACAATTCATCAGCAGTTGTAGAGGTTTCGATTCGACAGTCGTAACAAGCAGTTTTCGTGCCATTCAATCGCTTTTCTCCTATTGCTTCAATTTTTTGTAGTAGTTTGCAACACCTTCTTCGGGTTTACCTTCAACACCATTACAAACATCCAACGCATCTTCACTATCTAAAAACGTCTGCATGACAAACTGCCATTGTTGCCCGTCCTCGGAATCACGTAACTTTTCGATGTTTGGCTTATCCAGTTCCATCTTTAGGCTAATCGATAAACAGTATTTTTATGAAAAGAAAACACACAAAACGAAACTAGCTCGTGTCCGCATTTGCAGCCTTTTGTGAATCTCAATCTGTCAATCGCACTCTGGGCCAATAACCTGTTGACGGTCAATGATCGCTTTGAGAATAACACTCGGTAGCTTGTATAGAAATAAGAGAACAAGTGTTTACAGTTTGGCTGTTGAAAAGAGACTGTTTGTAACTGGAACTACTATATATTATGTGTTCACAATGTACTTAATATACATATATGTGACATGAACAAAAAAGAACTGCCAATGTTTACAAACATTGCTTACTTTCTTTGGTCCTAACTAAGCAGCCTATCTCAATTAAGAGTTATGTTTTCCTTCGATATTTAAGTGACTCATTTGTAAATACAAGCCTTCACAGTCTAGGATGTCAGATAAGTCAGGACGGAAGGAGTAGTAGGGATATAAAGCAGAGGATAGCGCAGGGCCGAGTCGCCTTCAATAAAAAGAAGTCACTTCTATGCTCGCGAACGGTTAATTTAGAAAGTCGGAAAAGGTAGTTGAAGGTGTATGTTTGGAGCACGGTGCTGTACTGGTTCGAAACATGGGCAGTGGGTGCGGTGGAAAAGAGAAGGTTAGAAGCGTTTGAAATGTGGTGTTATAGGCGAATGATGAGGATACCGTGGATAGAGAAGGTTAGAAACGAAGAGGTATTAGAAACAATAGGAGAACAGAGGACTCTATGGAAGTCAACAAGAAATAGGCGAGATAAGTTAGTAGGACACCTTCTCAGGCATGAAGGTCTAGTCAGAGATATATTAGAGGCAGAAATATGAATTAAGAGGAGTAGTGGTAGATCTAGGTTACATTACTGTTCGCAAATAGTTAAGGATATGGGTTGTTCTAGCTTTAGGGAAATGCGAGGATTAGCGCATAATAGGAAAGAGTGGAGATGCGTGTCCAACCAGTCTTAGAACTGACGACCTGATGATGATGATGAAATTGATTTTAAATGAAATTGCGGTATTAAGAATGACCTGCTGTAATTGCTGCTGTATCTGCTTTTTCTAAGCCATGTTGAAACGAGAGCCTAAATTTAATGAACCGCGTTATGAGAAAAATCATCATTGAAGAATAAATGCAATTACCCTAGTTGAAACTTGAATTTTAATAATTTTACGCAAATTAATGCAGTGTGACAAAAAATCGTATCCATTATTCCTCGTGTTTCTGGGCTACTGGATGTAGGTATTTTATTTTACAATATATGAAAATATTGCTGTAAAAGCTTATTTCGAGCTTTGCATGTACAAGTAGTTAATGGAATACAAAACGTCTTGTCATATTAGGCAAATCCAGCTATTTAAGTTATTTAATTGTAGAGAATTCAGAGATTTACAAAACTGTTGGTTTTTTTGCTAAATAGTTTAATCTGGTAACCACAGCAAGTAGTGACGCTACGTCACACAAATACACTAGGTAATCTGGAGCAGTTGAGGCTTTTAGTAAGATCACTACCTTCATTTTTATGTATATAGTTGGGTGGTGTGCTATGGCTCATTCTATTTCATTATCTTCTTCTCCCTTATTTTTTTCGGAGTACTGATCAGACATAGTGTATATTTGGGAAGTCGATACATACCACTGAAGATCATCGTACATATTTTTATGACAATTCAGAACTACAAAAGTTCGGCAACTTATAATTTGGACAAACTGTAAATTAATACTAAAATAAACACAATAACCATAAAAGCAAAGTCTTGAGATGCTTAATGCAGCGCTAGTGGCGAGAACAACCCAGATGAACTATCCCCTACAGAAAGAATAGTAGCCAAGGTTATTGATACGGTAGCTACACGTTCACCTGAATTAATCAGGGGCTGAAGGAGAGAGCTTGTTTCTATACCCCTGCCCGCTAAATCTTTAGCCCGGTTTAGGTGTATCTACGTTTGCTAATTTGAATGGAAAATATACCCTATGTTACCCTATCCTAATTAACTGTTAAAGCCTCTCAAGCTATGAACTTGATTCTTGAGTGCTTGTCGTTCACCCACGTAATCCCAAGTGTGGTATAGGGATAAGTTTTATGTAGTATCAAAAGAGACTACATTATTAATTTCATAGAAGCCTACACTGGTACCAAATATTAACAAAAAATTAGCTAAAATTATAAAATAGCAATAAATGAAGGTTAAGTTCGCGCAATGGAAACTATACAAGTTGATCGGGGTAAAAAATATATGTCTATATGCAGTGTATGGCGTTTTTTTCCATTTTTCTCTTTTCTTCGCGTTCCATCCATTCCTGCTTTTCTCTAATTTTTTTCAATACTTTGCTTTTCCATTTATTCTATTATGTTTTTGTATTTTTTCTTATAATAGTTTGTGGTGTTTTTTTAATCAATAATATTTTAACCACAGGTTTAAATTTGATGCTTCAATTTTTAGTATAGAATTTTAATTAACTTACTGATTGATGTAGTGTTCTTAGTTATTTGAGGAATTGTGTAAAATAAAAGTGATGAAGATTGTTGAACGTAGGACATTTACCTTCATGAAAGTAACAAGTAAATGATATTGAGTTACGATACAGCTGAAGAAAATGCACTCACGGTATGTCGGCTTAATCAGAAAGGATAATGATCGACTTAACAGTGCGTGTAGTGCAGTGTTTGCTTGATAGTGTGTTGTGAGAACTAAAAGACTTGGGAGATAAGTTAATTATGACTTTGAAAGGGGACATGCGATCGTGCAGTTCATTGGAGAAAACTCCACGAGGAGCATTCGCCGAATTGCAGTACTGTAACAAGTATCTTTGAGTACACGAGAGCATTTGAAGAGAATGTTTCCTTGGAGGTGGGTAGCCTGTTTTGGTCCAGTGGCATGCCAGCCCCCCCCCCCGTTCACTTTACTTATGGGGTCTTGAAAAGGCATTGTTATATACGCCCTTGGGACAAAATTCGACAAACGAACGGTGAGCAGTGAAAAGTGGTCAGTGGCTTATTGTGGGGGAGGACGCCATTAGTAGCAATACCAATCCAGGGACTGCGAAGCGGAATGACTAAGTTCTCGGTAGGGCAATCACTCGGCCCAGCCGGGGGACAACCAATCCAGCTGCGTAGGAAAACATGTCGATTAATTCATTCAAAAGGAAACGCTGTTATTGACTAATACAGAGCCAGCCAAATTCTCGACCGATCAATTCCCCAATCAACTATCAATAAAGAAGTTATCTCAAACTGTAATATAGAGCCAGTCAATTTCTTCTATGCCACAGTCAATTAAGCTAGTATCCCTCTTCCTTATAACGGTGAGTGCAATGTCAGACTGATCTCTCCTTGGGTCCTGTGGGACATTTATACTGAAATGTGTATGAAATAGAATGAAATCAAACTAAAGATATGAGAAGTTATATCTCTTTTCTTCTACCTAAGCAGAAAAGCACCTACCTTTCTTGTATTCTCGAGTGCAGAGGTTCGCACTCTCGGCGACCTGCCTCTTATCCTCTACAACCCCGAATACCTCTAATTTCTAGTTACCTTGCGAGAAGAACTTCTTTTTCTTCCTGTAACTTGCCTACAAATAGCTTGATCTCAACTTGCCTAACAGATAGCTCGATCTCAGCTTTCCTACAGATAGCACGATATTGCTCGTGATCGGATACGAACCAGATGGGGTTCCAAAGTTGACAGAGAATGTACGATTTTAAGATGCGTTTTCTTTTTAGTTTACTCATTAGTAGAGAAAAATTATCCTAAAATTATAAAACATTTACTGATTTCGTATTAACCTAACCAATATTTAAAAGTCAAATGGCGTAATAAAGTCTAAGTACAAAGAAATTATTTCTCTGGTGAAGAAATCTCAATTAATAATCTATTTGGAATCAATTAAATTACTGTCGCTGTAGAATAAACTAGTTGATTCAAGAGAAGTTGAGAACGGGTGTAGTTGTACCATGATATTGGATTTAATGGGAACCTTATTGACTACTAACGCCTATTAAAACTCCTCCACGATCGCATATTAGACCTTGCCACCTCTTGGCGACGTTTTCTGTATATATTGTAGTTAGTAAATGTTAGTCAGTAGAGTTAATAGTGTGAGGTTTAAACCAGGTCTTAATGAAAATTATTATGTTGGGTATATACGTCATTATATCTCAAAAATAATTAATTTATTATATAAAGCCTCACATTTTGCGAGCAGTAGATCGTCGATTACTGTTGACTTATTGCTAATTTTTCTTAGTTTATCATTATCGGTCTTTACTTGAACGGTAAGCAACGAAAAGCGTTCTAAACAGGATCTAATGTTGAAGATGATACTTTGAAATTTAACAATATGCAATAAACTTGTTTCTTAAAAGAAGATTTTTCATTACAAATATCCGAGATGGTTTACATCTGAACTCAACAACCTGATAATTGAAAAGAAGAAACTGCACAAAATTAGGGTAAAATATGAACTAGATAGTGACTATATTAATTTTAATAAAGTTGGAGGCTTGTGTATAAGTAAATCCAGAAAGTGTTATAGAGAGTATATTGACAGTTTTGAATGCCCAATTACAAAAAACATCAGAATTATTTTAATAATAAAAACTATAATGGTTTTCCAAATAAGATGCATTTAAATTGTAATCTAGTTGAAAATACTGACAATATATTAGATTTGTTTTCTACATTTTTTGAAAGTGTTTATAAGCGTTCTTCTACCTTTAGTTTTGTTTTTTATAACTCAAATGTAAATGATTTTGTTAACTGATCAGTCTTATGTTAAGGCTATTGACAGTTTAAACAACACGCAATCTGTTGGACCTGGTCTATTGTCTCTAATATTCTCTAAAAATTGTAAACGCAATATCAGTAAAGTAAACTTTTAGCATTTCCATTTAATAGCTCTTTATCACATCAGATTTTTTCTAAACATATGAAAAGTTCTTTTGTTACTCCAAATTTCTAGAACGACGTAAGATCTAATATACGCAGTTTGTAGAATTTGTTATTATTTAATGACTTTATTATAAATAGTTTGAAATGTGGAAGTCAGGTTGATCTTATAATATAATATCTTAACTGCTATTAACACAGTGGATCATGGGTTGTTATTCTTGTAGCTGCAGAGGTTTGGTGTAACAGATAGTTTAACTGACTGGTTTTAGTCTTATTTAGCTGAAAGAGAGTTTATTGTAGTAAGATATAATCATTTTACATCCAGATCGTTTTTAGCAACTTCGGGTGTTTATTGGCTATTATATTTGACCCTTTACTATTTTTAAACTTTGTAAATTATTTACTTAACTGTGTCACTGACTGCGGTTCTTTTATACGTAGATGATGTGAAGATTTTTGAGGATGCCTGTAGGTTGCAAAATGACTTGAATAAGGTTGAATGATGGACAAATGATAGTAACTTAAATCTGAATAATATTAAAAAGTGCATTATGCCATTTCATACAAATAGAACTTTTACATTCCGTAATTATAGTATTTACAATGTAGTATTGAATAGAGTTGGAATAATTTATAATAGTCATTTTTATTTTAAAGATCACATTAGATCTATTGTTTCTCAGTTCAACAGANTTAATATATGTACTATATTTAAGACGGTTTGTCAGTAAAGAAGTCTTCGCTGGGGATATACTGCAATTTCATTACTTCTAAATTAGTAACAAACCTCTTATCCTACGATTGTGACACACTGACCTAATTCTAATCGACTGACTACATGTTATACATAGAATACATTAAAAGAACAACAAAACTATTAGGCTGGTTGTAATATAAACATCGTCAATCACACTTAATCTAATCCAACAAATAACAAACAATGAATCAGTGCAAAATTACAGAAAAAATACAATACGAATTGTGCTAAGTACCAGCTTATTGAATACGACCTTGCATCGTCGCATTTTTTCTAGGGTCGGCATTACCTTTGCCTGTACTTTCAACTACAGTTTTCTCGAAAACGGTGAATTTCAGACTTACAAACATCATTTCTTGCAAGGTTATTACTTATTTGAGAAACACCCTGTATAAACCAGTAGTTTGAGAAGTAAATTTGTGATTTTACTTATAAGGTGCAAATGTTCAAACGGGTGGCACGGTATTCACTGCACTGAAAGGTCGACTGATTGTAATTCCGGATCATCAGCTGAACTTTGTGGCCACGGTACGTGCATAAATGAAAATAGTGCTGAAGGATATAAGTGTATATGTGAACAGGTATGAACAAAATAGACTTCATTGTTTTTGTAACATGGCATAAGTTGAAAGTTTTTCTCGGTAATTGAGGTAACTGATGTATGATATTATCTAATATAAAACAAATTATTTCAGTACCATATACAATGACCATTAAGTATAGGACAGTTGCACACATAGAACTGTCTACAGAATGAGGAGAATCCCATTAGCAACTTTTCCTAAACATAAAAAATAATTTTTAATGACATTATACGTTTTCACCTCAAACAATGTTACCACATAATTTGATGGGAGTATGTCATTGTTGGTTAAATGAGCATATATTATATAAAATATTTGCATTTATTTTGAACAGAACAAGTTAAATATATTTGAAAATGGCAGGGCTAATCTTTACACCAAATTTTAACAACATTAGGATACCACTCTTTTGTTCTTTCTTCGAAGGTTATTGGACGTCCTTCCAATTAGACTTGTAGTTGAATTGTAGTTCAATTCACTGACGTAGTTCAATAAATCTTCTTCAATGAAGTGAACTAATTCCCTAGTCTAGTTCAGTAGTTCATTTAGTTCAGTTCTCAGAATGTAGAGCATGCAAAACGTCCAATAATACAATCGAACTGATATATTTTGAACCCATATTTTCAATTCATTTTACTCATGTATTTTCAAATTTTTCGTCCCCACTTCCCACTTCTTATACCAAACTTCTCTTACATTGCTCAGCCAATGAAAAAATAGATGCGCAAAAGCAAATTATATACGTTTTATATTCAAAATCGGCGCGTAACTACTTCTCAAAGATTTACGCAGTTTTTTCTGATTTGTCTGTGACTGCCACAAAATGAGGATAGAGGAGAGTTGAAAATACATGAGTCGAATAGTCCCGATAGTTTGAAAATACACAAGTCCTACTGTACAAGATGTAAACTACTGAACTATAATTCTTTCAATTGCTGAACTACTTAACTCGGCTCAGTTGAAGTGAGCCGTTCTTGTGAACGATTCGTTCATGAGTTACACAACTCTACTTCCAACTCTACCGGTTTCAATTAGAATTCAATCTTTTTTCTTATATGTATATAAGAGAGGAAGGTTACTGGATGCAATTGAAAAAAAAACTAAGAATTTTATCTTTAGGAAATAACCTAAAAACAGTAATAGAAAAGACCTATAATTATTTTAGAACGTTTCACAACCTTTTTTAAATATCACTACGTATGTAGGTATTTGGCTTTCTTGAGAAATTTCTATGTTTGAAGTTTGAGTATGAAGCCATTTCTAAGAACACTGAGTGTGCGTGTTCCTTCAAAAAAATCGATATCCTAAAAAGGCGAAATAGGTATCATTCAAAAAAGTGTATACCGTTTTCTGTGTTTTATCAGTAAAACGGTAATTATAGGAGTAATATTTTAATATACATCATTTGTTCTAGAACGAACGTGGAAGCAATGCCAGAAAAACAGTTATCAATAGAAGAATATCGCTTCTTAACGGCAAAGTCCGCAGACTAATAAGATTATTAAATATAGACGAATGTGCAAGTAATCCTTGTCGGAATGGTGCTAATTGTAAAGACATTTACAATGGAGTATTATGTTTTTGTACTGACGGCTGGGAGGTATGAAACTAAATATTTTTGTTTTATTGGATAGACCTGATCTACTTAGTTATTATATGTTTATACTAATTTTGAGAAATGATTATTCCATTTCGTGTACTGAAGCCACACCGTTTATCCATTAATATTCATTTTTTTTTCAATTTAGACAGTTTTTTGTCTAATAAAATAATTCGAAGTGGTCTGTATTCTGTCGAAACTGCCAGACGCGGATCGCGATTTCGATCTTTTTGGATCTCATCAGCGCGTCGCAGGCAGNTTTCACAACCTTTTTTAAATATCACTACGTATGTAGGTATTTGGCTTTCTTGAGAAATTTCTATGTTTGAAGTTTGAGTATGAAGCCATTTCTAAGAACACTGAGTGTGCGTGTTCCTTCAAAAAAATCGATATCCTAAAAAGGCGAAATAGGTATCATTCAAAAAAGTGTATACCGTTTTCTGTGTTTTATCAGTAAAACGGTAATTATAGGAGTAATATTTTAATATACATCATTTGTTCTAGAACGAACGTGGAAGCAATGCCAGAAAAACAGTTATCAATAGAAGAATATCGCTTCTTAACGGCAAAGTCCGCAGACTAATAAGATTATTAAATATAGACGAATGTGCAAGTAATCCTTGTCGGAATGGTGCTAATTGTAAAGACATTTACAATGGAGTATTATGTTTTTGTACTGACGGCTGGGAGGTATGAAACTAAATATTTTTGTTTTATTGGGTAGACCTGGGGTACTTAGTTATTGTATGTTTATATTAATTTTGAAAAATGATTATTCATTTGGTGTTCTGAAGTCACACCGTTTATCCATTTATATTCGTTTTTTTTTCAATTTAGACAGTTTTTTGACTAGTTCGTTAAACGAAAAGCTACTTAAGGTAGTCCAGTCGAGATTTAAATTTTAAAATCAGTGCTTGAATAACAGGTTATAAAATAAACTAATTATTATTTTAAAATTCCAAGAAGAAAACTAATAATTTTAGCGCACAATAAATTTAACAAGATAACCTATTAAAATGTCTTATTGCATAACAAATAATTTCATCTCTACAGTTATTAGTCATGCGTCTACTAGAACCGTTAAGATGAATTTGAATCATCTTAATTTAAAAATAAAATGATGCAATTAATAGAAAAAAGTTATTCATATTCCATACTTCCGATTACACAATTCAAAACTGTTACGCATTCTAACTGTACCCAAGTTGCTGAGCTATAACCTGGTATTAAAGTCGTATGCCGCCTAGTTATGTCAAGTGTCGTTACGTTTTAGTATTTAGGGTACCTGGTACTCAAATGTACCGATCTCGTTAAGTTAATCCAGTGGATCTACAGATTCTACGCACCTACTTTCTACCGGGTACAAAGTACCTACCTGGTTACCAATCTATGATCTATAATTCTCATCACTCAATAGAGCAATGTAAGTATACATATACTTATTGGATGGAAAGTACTAAAACGTCACCGATATGGTCTAGTACATAGTAAGATGCATAAGACATGAAAAAGTCTTAAATCATATTTACAATGGGGCAGGTACAAAAGTGGATAAGGGTCCTTTCTCGACCAACACGATACGATTCGATTCAGGTGGAATCCAACATGATATTTGCCGTAGCGTAGGTACACAAACATTACGTAGCGCTAAGAAAAAAAATGTTTGTTTTATCAGTCTGCTGTTAAATTTTTTTGCGTCACTAACAATATTCAATTCTGTTAACAATCTATACAACAGTCAACACAAAATGATATTAATCAAACATGATTTGCCCATAATGGCCATACTGTGAATTTTTTGGGCCATTTGACTTGAAAAAGAAAACAATTGAATATCGCCGCGATTTGTTTCATCAGTCTGCGGAAACACTCTAAATGGTGACAGTTAAAAGATTAAAGTCTACAAATAATTTGTTTTTAGCCGACCTCGTTAAAATCGCGACATAGTGCAACAGTTAGCTCAGATACATTTACATATACTAGTGCAAGCTGCTAAACTGATTTTTTGCCATAAGAACCATGTGAATATTGTACTATAAATAGCTGCTGAATAAGGTAGCCCCTTTCGTGCCCTGCAACCCCGAACTGTGGCTCGGCATGATCGAAAATCTTTAAATCCACGAAATTTGGGTGTGTACTAGGCAACCCTAACCCTCGCTACAGAGTGGAAGTGCATGAAATCATTGTGAACCCTCTACGACTGAACTATATGCCTCCATCAAAGCAGTACTTATTCGTTGCTGGGAATTTCTCAATAATTGGGCAATAGGAAACCAATATAATTTCAGCACCAGAGCCGGCGCCACCACAATACCGGGCAATCTACCGCGATATATTTGATTAAATCGTCTCCCCTTTCATATTTAAATCATCGTAACCATAACAGAAAAGGAACTGGATGAGGTTGCAGAGGTACCATATTCCATCATTGTGGCGATCCATAGCCATAGCTAGTCCCACGACCAGTTCTAATCGGAAACGATGCAAACATTAACCAACATGATACACCCCCTCCAGATGGATCTGAAATACCTGAAACGACACATGGCGGGAACATATAAGCTTTGATCCCGTTCCAATTCACACAGTTTTCTTTTCCAACGGCGGTCCAACAGCAATAGTACGTCAAATCGTCAAGCACAAGGCGCGCAAATATATCCCACTACATCAGATGATATCGAACAATCGACTAAGAAATTAATGACAACGAGTGAGGTTCGCTAAACGCAACGACACCTTTTTGTCACAGACAGAACCACACGCAAGAGTTGCTGATATCTGCGAGTATTCCGCGTCACTGATACTTGGGTCACATTAGAAGTCCGCATACACGCAACAAGTAACTGTGACTGGACGCATGTGCAGCTACTTTTGTCACAAACACAAAATTCGCCACTTACATTGTACCACGAGTTACTGCAGTAGCTTTCGTCAGTGATACGGCCCAACAGTCAAGTCACTTCTTCCAATCATTCAATAAGGCATTACATTAACACTACCTATGGTCCCACACCGACCACGAAGTTTAGCTCCGGACTATTTCACTGCAACCAAGATTAGTGGTTTTACGCATTCTTTGTCAAACAAAACAATTTTCTCCACAATGGATATGGTTCGAGCCTATAACCAGATTTTGGTCGCAGAATTACTATACATAAATTTCAGCTAAACGTTTCAACGTTTAATCGACGAAGTACTACAGACTTAGACTTTGACTTCTGTTTCGTATCAAAAATCAGAACAGTACAAACAACATTTGTATATTACATTTTATATATTCGCCTACATTCCTACGGGATATTACTTAATTAAGCGAAATGCAAATTTAATAAAAAGGTTTCATTTATAGGTTACTGTGTGTCTGCAAATTTACCGTACAGAGTAACAGTGTTCTATCGAAGACGACGCTAATGTAACAAATTTGCTTCATTCGATGCGGTGGTTGTTAATGGTAATGGCGGGGAGTTTTCGGGTTCTACGAGAGAGAAAAATTTCTTTCGACTTGGCCTCATTAATGGAGTTTCCATCTTCCAATCTACCAATTTAGTGGCAGGGCAGAAACTTGTTAATTTTTGCGAAGCACTAGAGAAAGGTTTGGGTGGAGTTTATGAAGCGTAGAGCGCTGTGGCGATCGAGGGATAGAACGGCATGTCTGCGAAGAAAAGGTTGAACAGCAAGGTGACAGCTTGGAGCCTTGGGGGACACCAGCCGTGACGGGTTTGTTTGGGGATAATGCAGAGCCTACGCGGACACGAAGGGTTCTATCTGAAAGAGTAACCCCAATTAGGAAATGTGGGGTGTTGAGGGCGATAAGTTTGGTTATAAGACCTTCGTGCCATACTCGGTCGAAGGTTGGCTGGATGTAGAGCAGAAGCATAGAAGTGCGACGGCCCTTGTTTAGGTTGTCAGAAATGTGTTCGGAAACACGGAAAAGTTGATGGCCAGTACCCTGCTGTCTGCGGAAACCGTGTTGAAACTCGGGGAGAAGGTTGTTCGCTCCATGTGGTCGAGAAGCCGATCCAAAAGGATAGATTTAACTACATTGCTCAGTGAACTGAGAGCTGAGGGGCTTCCCTTGTTTGGGGAGACAGATGACGGTGGCTTCTGTCCAGACCGGAGGGAAGTGGTTGAGCCGCATGATAACGTTTGTGATGTTGCAAAATGACTTTTAGGACATAGGACACTAAAGACAGAGAGAGTCTATGAAAATTGCAGCTTTTACTCTTCTGAAATGAAAACGGAGCCGTTTTGTTTTAGCGGCGGGAAGAGCGGATCACTTTCCGAATGCATTTGGGATGTGTTTTAGCCTGAGCAATATAATCGTCGAAAGTGACGCTGCAAAATTCGGCTAGTTCTCGCTGGAGGGCGTTAATCTCGGCGCGGTGTGCGGGATCACAGTGTTTTTTCCACAAACGGCGGGTTTGGTTTTTCCTCTTGACAATGGCAAGAATGTCTGCGGGAAGGTGTTTCTCTGGTGAGGAAGAGGGGCAGGAGATCGTGGAGAGCTCAATAGCGCTGGTGATCTCGTTTGAAAGGAGAGTGATAGCTTTGTCGAGTTCCACTTTTGTGCTAATTGAAGTGCGGAGATGTAGCCAGTCTAGCGAAGTTGTAAGGTTTGCAGGGTTGAGGGTTGGGCGACCGACTTTTATTAGGGCTGGAAGGTGGTTGGAGCTTAGAGCGTCGAGAACGGTGGGATAGGCAGAAAGATTGACATTTTTTAATACGAAGATGTCAAGAATGTCAGGAAGTTGATTGTGGGAGGCGGGGAGGTACGTAGGATCTGAGGGCGCTTCAACGGCAAGGTTTAGTTCAAGGACTTTGACAAGAAGGGAAATGCCTTTTTTGCTAGTGTGCCGGCAGTCTCAGGAGGCGTGTTTGGCATTGAGGTCACCTGAGACGATCGTCATGGCATTAAGGGGGAGCAGGAGGGAGAAATCCGAAAAATTTAGTTCAGATGGGGGTATTAAAGGAAAATGATTCTGAGGGCGCCGGAAGTGAGAGACATTTCAATGCCAACTGCATCTAAAGAATTAGTGACCAAAGAGATGGGCCTGTGTTTTAAAGAATTCCTGACTAGGATGGCTACGCCACCGCTTCGGGAGTTTTCACGGTCTTTTCTATGTGAAATTTGGAAGGAAAAGTTTCACTTTCTACGATAACTGAGGATTCTGTTCTCAATAATAGGATTTAATGACAGTAAATTACTTTATTACGTTAGTTTCTTTTGGGGTGTGTATGTCTTTAAAATATATTTCCTTATCAATACTGAAAGAGCGCCTTGCAATTCGTTATTTGGTAGTAAACCTTATGATATGCTGTTTCTATCCTTTAAATTTTTTGATATGAGCTTAAGACAATAGGCTATAACTAGTTTTAATTTATTTAATGTATTGAAATGTACGTTAATGACTTTTGATCAGGGACGTCGCTATCCTCGAATTGTGGAGAAGGATGGTGTAATTTGCTTAGAGAAGGACAATGTGGACCATTCTACCATAATTTACACGATTTTAATAACTTTGGTTCTACACCTCGCGATATTAGATCTGCGGGGCTCTCCTTTGATCCCACGTGAAACCAGCATTTACAAAAGGACAGTCTTTGAATTTCAGCTACTCTGTTGGTAACGAGTATTTTCCAATTTGATTGTGGACTTAATACCTAAAATAATGTGATGGTGGAACCAATATGTAAACTTAGTGAATCTTGTACCTGTTGCAATAATTGTACAAATATTACGGTACCACATAACCTCATAATTCTAAGCGATGAAGAGGAACCCCTTTTAATGGGACTATGCGGGATTTTGCACATAACAGTGATACCATAAAATATCCTTAGTATCTTGTAATCAATCTTTAAATTTTAACCAGCCGGTATTGACTGATCCTACGCTAATTTAGCTTGACAATGGTTTTGTATTATTAATTTAGCTATTGTTACTACATATAAAAGATTCCAAAAAAGCCGGCTTCTATAAGTACACAGTTTTTCTCGGTAATTGAGGTAACTGATGTATGATATTATCTAATATAAAACAAATTATTTCAGTACCATAACTGTTCAGGCATGATATGAATTTGAGATTCACTTTATGTTGTATGTTTCATGTAGTTTCTGCGATACCACCTATTCTTGAATTGCATTCAATTCTTTTTAATTTAAACATGTGTTAGTAATAAAGAACTCTACATTTTTGAAAATTTCCTTGATTATCTTTTACCTTAATGCACGCAGTCAATAGAACTGCTAGATTGGTATGTGATTCATCAATGAAAGAGTTTGAAAATAACAATTGTGTTGTGAATGATGAATTATCGGAGGCGCCAGACGAACTTGGCAAGTATCTTAATTCCTTTCATTATTGTTGTCCAAATCTATAATGGTATTGTTTCTTTTGTGACACGTTTATATATTTGTGAATAACAATCTTCAATAATATGATTTTTTCTCAAACTATTTATGGAGAAAGTAAAGTATTTAATTTCTGAAATACACTCATTTATATTTAATTTTACGAATGATTCGCAGAAATAAATGGAGTGATTAGAATTTTTGCAAAAATGACAGTATGTTGTTGGTGTAGTTATACAGAACTTTGAATTATTATTATGATTTGCGTGATATACCTTAGCGTTAATTACGTTTTCAAAAATTATTTGGTATTAAATTTACTAATATGCTTGTGTGCTTTCTATATGCATATTTTTAAAACACATTGACCGTAAAAATAGTGAAATTAGTTAATCTTATTTCATCACCTATTTATAGGTACCTCACTTCATCAAACGTTGAACCTTTGATTTGATATTGTCAAGCGAATAATTTATTCAAAAGCCAATACTAACACTTATTTTCAAATACAGGGCTTATATTGTGAAAATGACATTAATGAATGTCAACGTTTCACTCATACAGACTTAGGGTGCCAGAATGGAGCTACATGTGTGAATACTCCTGGGAGTTATGAGTAAGTATTTATATTAAAATTCCCTGCCTATAAGGTGAAGTTTTCTTTAATGAATGTGGGTTAATAAATTTCANTGTGGACATTGTCCTGCAGGTATAATTACTAAGAAAATAGAATCGACAATTTAGATACTACTGTATGATTATTTCTGTTATTTTTATTTTAAGGGTATACTGGAAATGGTTTTTATTGTGCAGATATTGATGAATGTGCAATTTTTAATGGTGGCTGCAGCGTTTCTCCTACTGTACAATGTATAAATACACAGGTAACATTTCTCTTTCTCAGCTATACCTGTTATACATACTTACACATACTTTACTTTAATATTTCAGGGATCAAGAATATGTGGTCCATGCCCTCCTGGCTATGTTGGAGACGGTTTTTCTTGTAGCTATCGAGGCATATGTCATGTAAATAATGGCGGATGCCATTATTTGGCTCAATGTAGAGATAACCCAAGTAATGCCGTTTTCGTTGCTTTCCTTTTAAATTTATTACATGCAAATCTATCATCCAGTTTCGTAATTACTTCCGATGTTATCATACCCATGTCTATTAATTCTTTCAGGAATAAGTTCTACGTTTGTAGAGTGTTTTTGTCCTGAAGGCTTTGTAGGATCAGGAATTGGACCTAATGGGTGTACAAAAAGAACTGGTGGAGATCCATGTTCATCAAGTCCATGTTTATATGGAACCTGCGTTTCCCGAGATGAAAATACGTATGAATGTCATTGTACATCTCAGTTTGAAGGTATTCATCAATTTTTTTGATTTTGAAACTATGATTAGCACTTTATAATTATTCTTATACACAATTTATTGTACTTTTTTAAGGGCGAAATTGTGATAAAAGAAAGAATCCCTGTTCTCCCAATCCATGTTTAAATGGGGCTTCTTGCATACAAGTTTTCAACATCTCCTTTGTTTGCAACTGTACTGCTTCATTTACGGGACCGTTATGTAACCAAGAAAAACAGGGTAACTGATTTATCCGATACAAAAAAAGGAAATCTCTTAAATTTATTGTAATTTATTTTAATTAGCTTGTGGTGGAAGGTTAACTCATGAATTTGGAACATTGGAATATCCTCCACCTGGTGCATCATTAAGTAATCAAAGGAGCAACTGCGCGTGGTTAATTGAAACTAAACAAAATCTTACCCTAAATATAGTTTTTGATAAATTTAACGTATACAAGAGCGTTGATTGCCAGACAGATTGGTTGCAGGTAGGTAACAATATNCGGTGAACTTTCAGACTTACAAACATCATTTCTTGGAAGGTTACTACTTATTTGAGAAACACCCTGTATAAACCAGTAGTTTGAGAAGTAAATTTGTGATTTTACTTATAAGGTGCAAATGTTTAAACGGGTGGCACGGTATTCACTGCACTGAAAGGTCGACTGATTGTAATTCCGGATCATCAGCTGAACTTTGTGGCCACGGTACGTGCATAAATGAAAATAGTGCTGAAGGATATAAGTGTATATGTGAACAGGTATGAACAAAATAGACTTCATTGTTTTTGTAATATGGCATACGTTGTAAAACACTCTTTATAGAGTTTGAATCTAATATCTATATACCTATTTAAGGGTTGGAAAAGTGATAAAACAAATCCAGCTTGTATAGTGGATGTTGATGAATGTTCGCTGGACAAGCCATCATGTTCCATTAATCCTCTAGTCGCATGTATTAATACCCCTGGTTCTTATATATGTGGACATTGTCCTGCAGGTAAAATTACCAAGGAAATGGAATCGACAGTTTAGATACTACTGTATGAGTATTTCTGTGATTTTTATTTTTAGGGTACACCGGAAATGGTTTTTATTGTGCAGATATTGATGAATGTGCAATTTTTAATGGTGGCTGCAGCGTTTCTCCTACTGTACAATGTATAAATACACAGGTAACATTTCTCTTTCTCAGCTATACCTGTTATACATACTTACACATACTTTACTTTAATATTTCAGGGATCAAGAATATGTGGTCCATGCCCTCCTGGCTATGTTGGAGACGGTTTTTCTTGTAGCTATCGAGGCATATGTCATGTAAATAATGGCGGATGCCATTATTTGGCTCAATGTAGAGATAACCCAAGTAATGCCGTTTTCGTTGCTTTCCTTTTAAATTTATTACATGCAAATCTATCATCCAGTTTCGTAATTACTTCCGATGTTATCATACCCATGTCTATTAATTCTTTCAGGAATAAGTTCTACGTTTGTAGAGTGTTTTTGTCCTGAAGGCTTTGTAGGATCAGGAATTGGACCTAATGGGTGTACAAAAAGAACTGGTGGAGATCCATGTTCATCAAGTCCATGTTTATATGGAACCTGCGTCTCCCGAGATGAAAATACGTATGAATGTCATTGTACATCTCAGTTTGAAGGTATTCATCAATTTTTTTGATTTTGAAACTATGATTAGCACTTTATAATTATTCTTATACACAATTTATTGTACTTTTTTAAGGGCGAAATTGTGATAAAAGAAAGAATCCCTGTTCTCCCAATCCATGTTTAAATGGGGCTTCTTGCATACAAGTTTTCAACATCTCCTTTGTTTGCAACTGTACTGCTTCATTTACGGGACCCTTATGTAACCAAGAAAAACAGGGTAACTGATTTATCCCATACAAAAAAAGGAAATCGCTTAAATTTATTGTAATTTATTTTAATTAGCTTGTGGTGGAAGGTTAACTCATGAATTTGGAACATTGGAATATCCTCCACCTGGTGCATCATTAAGTAATCAAAGGAGCAACTGCGCGTGGTTAATTGAAACTAAACAAAATCTTACCCTAAATATAGTTTTTGATAAATTTAACGTATACAAGAGCGTTGATTGCCAGACAGATTGGTTGCAGGTGGGTAACAATATTTTGTTAGCTACTTAAATAGTATTATTAGTACATTAAGCCGATTCAGTAGTGCAAGGAAAATTTTTCAAGGAAACGCAACATAAGGGTAATCTAAAGAAAAAGCGGATACATAATACCCCAAATTAATTTGAACTGTTCACTCTCTTTCGCAATTCTTATCATTCACATCATGTATACATCATTCTCTATTTTCATACAGAGAGATTATCATTTAAACATGTATAAATTAAGGTTCATTGAACAAAGTAGTCGTTTTCGGAAAATAACTTCGTATAGTCTAGTAGCGATGAGGATTTTTTATGTATTATTTTTCTAAGTGTAAAGGATTGAATTCTCCATAAAAATAATTCCCGAAAGCACCTGTACTCATAAGGAATTTGTTTCCCAAACGAAACATATTCAAAAACCCGTTTTTGAGATAAGTGGTAAAAACCGTTATCTTCAAAATACAACTGATATTAAACAAGACTCGCTAGTACTAATTAATTATGTCATATAACAATACTAAATGTCAATTATTAGAAATTATTTCTTCTTCTTTCCTAAAGCATCTATACAAAACCTGCGGATCTTTACACTTTAAAAAAAATAAATAGATGCGTTTTGAGTGAGAAATAACGGAATCAAATGTTAAACGAAAACTTATAATTCAGTCAAGAAATAAAGATATAAAAGACTATAACCTTTACTAGCAAAATCTGCAATATTTTGTAAATAAAGTATAAAATACTTAAACGCTATTGAAACATTACGGGTTAATTTCGTGTTCTTCAATCACAATCCATCTGTTCATTGATTTTTAACAATGAACTTAAAAATTTCTACTGCCGCGGTACACACGTACTGTTATACTGTTGGATAAACAACACAAACACGTAAAATGGTCATACGGTAGACATGTTTCACTTGAAAATTAAACTATTTTTCAAATATTTGTTTAAAATATATCATACCCTAATATAACTAACCTAAGTAACAAAGATTATATAAATGTTTACGGAGATATTTTTCTATAGCTTCTGAGAAATTAGAGCAAGCGGTTTTCACGCCCTGGGTGACCAGAATGATTAATGATCACCGAAAGTACCTAAAATGATCACTATTAACTATAAGAACTTTATCTAAATTGTCCAAAATTTTTCCTATTTTCAGTAACGGATACTTCCTTCTCGATTAGTTTGCAATAAGGTGTCTTATTTTTTTCCTTGCTATTTATACGAGTGAATTCGTATCGTCTTAAGGAAAGTATTTTGTGAGTTACGCAAAATGATCACTGAGATTTTTATTTTAGATACATGATGGGGCAAACACAGCCGCTCATTCCTTGGGTCGTTTCTGTGGGGATACCCTTCCAGCAAATGGAAGAATTACCACTTCCCACAATAGTGTTTTCATGTGGTTGAAATCAGATCATTCAAATAGTAACTTTAGGATAACATGGAATAGTTCTGTACCAGGTAAAATTTTTCAATCGAGTGTTTATCATAATTTTGTAATTTGGTGATATATTTTTAAATTTAGCTTGTACCGACTACATAACTTTTACTTCTCATGGAGTTCTACAATCACCAGGATCGCCAGGAAATTATCCTCTAAATAGGTAAATTAATAGTGTATTTTAATACGTTTTCAATGTGAACATTTTGGTACTACTTCGTTTTTAGAGAATGTGAATGGCACTTGAGTGCTCCTCCAGGGAAACGAATCGAGTTCCATTTTTTTAAATTGGATATTGGCCACGAGACAAACTGTACAGGAGATTATGTAGAGGTACGTAAGCACCACTATTGACAGGCAAAACATTTCGTAATTTTCAAAAGGTGTACGTTGTCAAAAAGACGTACGTTTTATAAAAAGCTTAAATCTGGTTCAATATGTTTGAATATGAACTGTAGTATTATGGAAGGAGTTAACGATAATTCGCAATTTTTCTTATAATCGTTGTGCATTTTAGTTTCTAGATAGTTCTACATCGTTAAAACGACGACTAGCTAAATACTGTGAAACATCTCAACCAGAGCCTCTAACATCCTTTGGTTCAGATGTGGAAGTTCGTTTTCATTCAGACGAAGTTGGATCTCATTCTGGCTTTCAGATATCATATACAGCTATCGAAAGTACCTTGATGATAGTAATAGTGTGAATGTAATCTATTAATTACATCCCATTTCGTAGGTTTGCCTGGCTGTGGTGGAGTTTTTACATCGAATAAAGGTGAAATACAATCTCCAATGATAGACGGACGATATCCGAGCGATATTATTTGTGAATATGTAATAAAATCTGACAGCGGCTCAAGAATAAAATTAACGTTTCTTAAATTTGAATTAGAGGAAGCCACTGACTGTGACTACGATTACTTAGAGGTAATAAAAGAAGGTTTCATTTAAATAGCAGGCTGTTAATGATGAAAGAAATTAAAATCAATTATGGCAAAGGTTGTCTCGAATGCTAAAATATGAGATCATGCTCAAATAAACTTTTTCATGGTTTTAAATGACACAAAAAAAATCACGCAATGTGGCAAAACTACAAATTAGAAGGTGTCGCACTAACCTGTCTCGTCTATTTCTTGTTGACTTACATAGCTCGCCCCGTTCTCCTACTCTTTCTAATACCTCATCATTTCTTACCTATTCTATCCACGATATCTTCATCATTCGTCTGTAACACCACATTTGGAGAGCTTCTAACATGTTCTTTTCCGCCGCGCCCACCGTCCACATTTCGCAACTTCACCAATCTTTTTCGAATTAATCGTTCGTGAGCATAAAAGTGACTTCTTTTTGTTAAAGGCGACTCTACCCTGCACTATATTTTGTTTTACATATTTACTGCCCCTTCCATCCTGAATTATCCAACTTCCTATCAGTGACTCCTGATTTTCGTCTCCGTATCTTATTTTCCCTTGCACAACAATATTACATGTACAATCTATTACTTATGAAGGGTGTTTCTGAAATAACCAGCAAGCTTGCAGGAGGAGATGGAGCACTGTAAAAGAAGAAAACTAAGTTTGGTGGCCCAAAAGTTCACCGTTTTCGAGAAAAACGTATTTGAGGTTTCAGACAAAAACTAGTCCGGTTCTGGTAGCATCACGCAGGGATATGTGAAAATTTAACACCGCGTTTAATCAGTTGGTAATGAGCAGCAATCGTGTTGTATTTTTGACTTAGACATTTTTTGCTTGTTTGTTAGATTAGACTAATGTTATGTTAATGTAACACTTACTTTTTGCCCTTTTAACGTTTGTTTGCTTGTATGTATGGACTCAGTCGAAGTTATTTCAGTAGGTAAACGTATCACTGTTACAGGTCAGTGTAGAACAGTAGTTGCTACAGTAGCGTTTAGTACGGCAGAACATTGTGACATGCTACTAATTTATAGCGAATGTGAACTTCTGCAAATGAAATTCACCAAATACTAGACGTTTTTGCGCGGCTCAGAATTAATTTTGATAGGCATTTTAAAGATTATCTTTCAGCACGGGGTTCGAATTTCGAACAATTTTTATAATGTATTATTATTTTATTTATTTTTATTATTATTATATTTATTCATTAGCGATGAAAAAATGTTGTTATTATTTCATTGTTAGCGTAACGTTTTTTGATATTAACTTTAACTGGCATTCTTTACTTCATCGATGTAGCTTCTGAGTTCTTATCTCAATTCATAGGTAAAGTCCTACGCTGTATATTCACGTCCAGGACCGGCTTCGAATTGTAAAATTTTTTTCCCTATAATCACCATGCGATTCTCTAATGCACGCACTGGACACCCTCCAAAGCTTGCTACTTATTTTATAAATACCGTATATAATATTTAAGGAAGATTTTTTGTTTCTACTTTAAAAATAATATTTTGTAGTTACATGAAGGTGCAAACTCATTAGCACCATTAATAGGTAAATATTGCGGAAAAGAGTTACCAGCTTCATATACATCCATAGAAAATGTCTTGTGTATTATTTTTAAATCGGACTTCAGTTTACAAGAAGGAGGATTTATTATCAAATACGAAACAGGTAATAAGAATTGTTTTGATCTTCTTTTTTAACACTTTTCTGTAAGTATTTTTGATATATAAATGTTACTTCTATAAGTTTTCTTTTCGACTTTCCGAACTACCGCAATCGTAGTGTAATACCACATAAGAGTAGCACTTTCTTTAATTTACAGTTCTTCTTTGATTTGCAGTAAACGATATTGATAGAGGTTTGTAATTTTAGTGTGCGGTGGAATATTTGAAGAACAATCTGGAACTATTTCTTCTCCAGGATATCCATCAAATTACCCTGAAGATAGAATATGCGTATACGAAATAATCCAACCTGCTGGTAAAATAATTGAACTAGTTTTTCAAGATGTAGACCTGGAAAATTCTTTGCATGTGTGCAGCTTCGATTACATAGAGGTAAATGACCCACTTTTTTATTAAATATATGTCGGCGATTTCGCTCCTACACTGCGCCACCAATCCTTTTGTTAACTATTGCTTATTTTAATTAAATAACGAGCAAAGTCTGCAGCGATTGCCCTTCTGTGAATAGAACGTCGTCAGCTAGAAAAAAACCAAAGACAGAAACCTAAAAACTATGTGGGTTCGTTACTGTACATAAAAGCGAAAGTTGGAAATTAGAAAAGGAATTAATTATTTGTTTCAACGATAAGGAACCATAATATTTATTTGTTTTGATAATTCCTTTGTAATATCACCGATTATCTTCTTATTTAAAAACTTCAAGTTCTTTAATACTAAATTGCTTATATATATGCAAGTTGTTTAGTATAAATTTTTCATTCGATTTTTGTAGGGCAATAAGAGATATCGACATGAAACTTGGACAAAACGATTTATTTGTTGAAAATATTTTCGAAATGTGGGCATTTCCTGTTCTAACAAATGTGCACCACTATTTTTTTTTTTTTTTTTCCTGTTCTAACAAATGTGCACCACTATTTTTTTTTTTTTAATGGAATGACCAACTATTTTATTTTTTTAATTTTTTTTAATTTAAAGGCAACTTTTTTAGAATGATGTACCCATAAATGTATTGTTTTCCATGTTGTAATTAATTTAATGTGAAAATTAGTGATGAACAAAATTAGTATTGGTCTTGCAGGTTTGGTCATGCATTTTCGCAAGACTAAGACCAATACTGTCTTTATACTATCAAAGTCAAGACCAAAATCGAACAAATAAGACGTAGACTAAAACCAAGACCGAACGAACAAGACTAAGACTAAAACCAACTGTTTTCTTTAACAGTCATGATAAGCTCATATGTATAAAAGAAAATGTCAGCATTTAAGACAATTATTATACTTAAAAAGTTATTTAAAAAAGGCGTAAGCATCAGATTAAATAAGCAAGACTTAACAGGCAAGACCAAGACTAAGACCGAATAAGCAAGACCATGACCTATGGCAAGGTTAAAGTTGGTCCTGCTGTGCTCATCACTAGTGAAAGTTGTGGTAGGTATGTAATAATATAAATGGCGTAGAATTATTGTTTCAGAAACCAAAACAAATAGAACCTTAAATTATTCATTTAAGGACCCCTCCTTTCTGTCTTCTGCGAAACTTTTTTCTAAGTTTCTAAATTTATAGCAGAAGATATACTCATTTACACGGGTGACTTTATCAATAATACCGCGTATCTACAACTATAGAGTGGAAAATATTTATGTCAATTTCAGTAATCATTTATTCTGTTTTTTAATAAGATAGGACCTACCTAACACTATCAAGAACATCGACTTTTTTACTTTATCGTTCCACTTACGTAGCCAAACAAGTAGTTTAAAAAAACTATTTTTTGATATGATAGGTAGATATTAACCCGCTTAGTTAAGGAAAAATAAATTTTGCACAATATATTCACCGTGGTCATCGCTGAGAATTTCTTCAAAGTACTACCTCTATAGGAGCAAAACTGAAATCCAAAGTCTGTACTAAAAATTCTTTAAGTGCTCCGATTAAGTCGAAGGTCTGCAAATTATTAAAGACATTAGCTAAACCCGCTTACATTCGGACGAATGGGTGCAGCTACAGATTATATATGCATAATTTTCAAGAGTATTTTTAGTACTGCATTTAATATTACTTAGTGAAGAAATAGGATAGAGAAAGAGTGAAGGTACGTGTCCAACCAGTCTTAGAACTGATGACCTTATGATGATGATGATGATGAATGACATTTAAACCCGTACAATTCGACTCATTTGCTAATTTTTATTTAAAATTTTCGATTAAACGGCAACAGTCTGGATATCAAATGGCCTAGGTACTGATTCCAGGAAGTCCTATTTTCTTTACAAACATAGTTATGTTAGAACCAAATATTTTACCATATTATGATATAGTGATGTGTTTCTGTTTCTCATTTAACNAATAGGACTTCCTGGATATCAAATGGCCTAGGTACTGATTCCAGGAAGTCCTATTTTCTTTACAAACATAGTTATGTCAGAATCAAATATTTTACCATATTATGATATAGTGATGTGTTTCTGTTTCTCATTTAACCAGTAAGCTCTCTTACTGGTGGAAATGGTGATTGAAAGTGTGTGGAATTTATAGGGTTAATATTTTGCTTTTTGTTTCATACAAATGAATCATAGCATACTACCTTAGTTTCACAAAAAAATGCATTGTTGCGAAAGCAGCAACCGTCTATCTATAAAAATAAGGGAGATATCCCGCAAACGTGCCGAAAATGGGATACCCTGTACATACATTATGATGATAAATGATTATGAGTTGCTTGGCATATAGAAAGTTTATATTAGGTGTCTTTAGCACAATTAAAGTTTATCGTCGCTGAAATGTATGTAATCTATAAGAAAAGAAGGTTTTTTACAGTTCGTACATGTGGAAATGCCACCTTAGTTTCCGAAATGTCAGTTTCTTATCGCATATGACACAGTCACAACCAATTTATGGCTGAATATAAAATTTCCCTTTTCTCCATTATTTGTTCTATTTTTAGCTATTTCTTTCATTCTACGTGAATATTTTGTATCGTACTTTTAAGTTAAATTGTTGAAACTGGAAGTATTAAATTGTTAGTTTGAATTAGTGATTATTAATACATTATAGGTATACTACTAGTGCTAACCAAAAGTATTTCTTTAGGTGAGAGATGGCCATAATGAAAATTCTACTTTATTGGGCACGCTTTGTGAGAAGCCATCTAGCTTTTTATCAACTTACAATTACCTTTTTATTAAATTTGTTTCCGACATCAGCATAACAGGAAGGGGATTTATAGCAAACTATTCGACAGTTGATATAGGTAGGTATCACGATTAGTAGTTTTGGATTTCAGTAAATCACTGAAATTTGTCATAGAATGTGGAGGCTTATTGACAAAGGATAGAGGATCAATAACTAGTACCAACAATTATTTCAATAATATGAACTGCTCATGGCTACTTATCGCTCCTGCAGGAAAAATTATAAAATTGACGTGGGACACATTTAGTCTTGAAGACTGTCCGTACGATCATGTCATTGTTTACGATATATCAAATACTTTTGGTAAAAGAGAAATTGGGACATATTGTGGTTTTCGAATTCCTCCAATTATAATGAGTTCCGAAAATATGCTGGAGATTCAGTTTATCACCGATGCAACCAAAACCACTGGTCAGTTTTCTCTTAATTACGTATTTTTGGAGGATAAAAATGGTAATATTTAAAATACTTTTTACAATTTGCTTTCTAATTTACTATATGCTCGAATTAGTTTGCGGTGGTTCATTTTTTACGACTTCTGGTATTATTAAATCACCTAATTTTCCTAACGAATATCCATCAAGAAATACAGATTGCGACTGGATTATACATGTAGGTGCTGGACAACAGATAATGCTCAATGTAACCGATTTTGCCTTGGAGAATAATGAGTGCCGGTATGATTGGTTGGAAATTCGGTAAGTATTTATAGTAGTAATTTTAATAAAAAGCGTATGAATATATAATATATTTACGGAAAGCCCACAAGAGCTATTTGCTTTTCAACTTTATTATGCAACTTCTGAAAGTACTCACCATTACACATTAGCTTTCCAATTTTTGACGTTTATTATTTCCTAATGTTTTAACTAATATATTTTTTACCAAAAAAGAGTCGGAACGTCATGGTAAAAAATAAATTNCTTTCTAATTTACTATATGCTCGAATTAGTTTGCGGTGGTTCATTTTTTACGACTTCTGGTATTATTAAATCACCTAATTTTCCTAACGAATATCCATCAAGAAATACAGACTGCGACTGGATTATACATGTAGGTGCTGGACAACAGATAATGCTCAATGTAACCGATTTTGCCTTGGAGAATAATGAGTGCCAGTATGACTGGTTGGAAATTCGGTAAGTATTTTTGAAAGTAGTATTAATAAAAAACGTATAGATGTAACGTATATTTATTTACGGAACGTCCACATGAGCTGTTTGCTTTTCAACTTTATTATGCAACTTCTGAAAGTACTCACCATTACCATAAATTTTTTTTTTTCTTAATTCTCTTAAAAACCACCAAAGCGCTTTATAGTGGTGTCTTGGCCAGTTCTGTTACAAAATGAGAAATAGGGTATCACTGTCTTGCTATTAGATCGCCCGCGCTCACCTGCCGTTGATCGGGAATTGGGTTTGCGAACTTTACTCTTTCTTGTTAAGGGAGTGTGAACTAATGCATGCGATTATTTTGAACGTGGCAAACTGTTTATAGAATCTTTAGACTTACGCCGATTCTATTGCACAATGAGCAAGAGGGTTTCACTGATCATTCAGAAGGTCACATGCATTCTTAAATAGCTAGGTTACAGTGTAAAGATATTCTAGGTTAATGACCATATGTTATCTTAAAATATGAAATATTTTTGTTGTGAATATTATTTTATTTTATATAAGTTTGGCGGGCTCACCTTTGACATCATTTTCACCGGACAGGACTGTAAAGCACAAAAAGGGGGATGCATAAATAAAAGAAAATTATGACGAACATCAAAAACCAAGTGCGAAATGAGGTAATTGATAAACATCTGTTGCATCTACGAAATGAGAAGAACAGAAAAAAGGGATCAATTGAGCTTGAAACAGCCAAAAATTACGGGGGATTTGGGAAAATGTTAAAGGAAAATTAAAGAGGTTTTCTGTTGGCAAAATTAAAAAATAACTCAGAGATAATCAGTATAGTCAAAAACACTAAGCTAAACAATAGTGAGGTTTTGATTTCATATTATGTGTACTCTCTGTTTTCTAATGTATCAATTCTACTTTGATATATTTGGAGGATTTAATCAGAATTTTTTCCGCTAATATTGTGCAGCAAAATTATTCTCAGATAAATGGTTTAAATGTTTATGTGATAGAGGGAATAGGTATGGGGAACTCTTATCACACTTATAGCCAATCTTTCCATAAGCTGTTTTAAGAACGACTTAAGCCGTCAAAAGTGTTTTATCGAAGTTGGCTATGATACGTGGAGGATACTTTTGCTATTTTCAATTTAAATTCTGATAGTATCCAAGATTTTCTTCCTAAACTACTTTTACGTTTTCCTCCTGTTAAATTTATCGAAAGGGAAAAAGTTGGGAAGCAGCATGCTTTAGTTGTAAGTAGTGGGAATTCTCTAGAATTCGATATCTATAGAAAACCCACTAATACTTCTGTATTTACAATCAATTACTTTTATCATTGTAGTAAACATAAAATAGCCCGTTGCAATTGCTTAATGCATGGGTTGTATAGCTTTTCACTAAATTGATACAGGTTGATAAAAAAATAATACTAAAGGCAGTGGTTTGAAGATTGTTATGATGTCGGGGAAGATTCAACAGACCATGTGAAAAGTCGGCTGTTACTGAACACGCACTGAGCAACGGCGACCCCAAAATACTCTTTGAGAACTGCAAATTGCTACCTTCGTAATTTCATTTGCTTTTCGTTCACACTGCACACGGTTTTTCACTTCGGGTTTAGTTTTGTTTTGATACGTGACCAAAATGGACGAAGAAAAAACGCATATTGTTTCTAATGATACAGCATAATCGCAGAAATACACAAAAACAAGAAGATTTTGGATTCATCCACTACTTGAAAACAGACAATTGATGGGTGAATTTGTAACATTATTTCATGAGCCACGAGACGATAGCACCAAATTTTTTAATTATTTTCGAATGTCTATTAGGAGTGTTGAAGAAGGACAGTGGTTGTTTAACTTATCCTAACTTCTGCTGTACGCCAACTTAATATTGTACAGCTAGTTGGTGATTTTTCCTTTAATAAATTTTACACTTTTTTTTACTAATTTTATTATTAAAGGATCAAGACTATTCACAATTAAAAATATGTACAACTAATGTAACTTAAATAACTAAATGCGTATTATTGAGAACCGTGCTCACTGATGTATATTGATGAACTCTGGTTAGAAAATTTTGGACATGTATTTAAATAAACAAGAAAGAGAAGAACAATTTAAGATAGATAGAGATAGAATTAGAAACTAGTATGAAAAACTTTACAGCAAATGACTGCATTTCAGGTAAATGTGATAGGTACAATTGAAAAGGTTATGAGAGGAAAATACGGCCCTAATATGATTTTAACGATGAGTCAGGTAAACATTGAATAGGTTACTATTGTATTATGAATTCCAAGAGAAGATTCAAATTGCGATATGCATGATAATGTAAATTAAGATGTAAAGAATATACAGTTAAAATCAAAAACAATCGAATAACATTAAAAATTATCAAACCATCTACTTAAATATGTATATAAATAAAAACCATAATTCTAACAAAAAACAAACGTTTCGGCGAATAGCGACGAAACAAGGAGTTTCAATGAATTATACGTAAAATTGCGAGATGATTTACAAAAAGGGGACACATATATTCGATTGACTACAAAAGAATTTGAATACACTGTTCCAAATATTTTTACAGAGAATCATAGAAAGACACATACAAAAGAATTCGAGTAGAAATATTTACAAAAGGATGTAATATAATGTTTAGCCAAATATATTCGTCACACTATATAATTTTTTCTGTTAACTGCGCAATTCAGAGAGAAAAACGATCCTGAAAACAATTTTTGCTGTGAACACACGGCACGTGTGAATACTTCTAAACACTTGCTTGTCTCACTGTTGCTGTGCACGGCTACGACGCGGTGACGTTGCAGTCCCCATGCCATGCTGTGACGGCAGCCGTGTACGGCTCCGGCAGCAAACCGCGTTGTGTGAAAACTTGCATATAAACCAATGTATTACTATTATACACGGCACCGTTGCCGTGCACGTCCACGGCAAAAAACCGTATGTGTGAAAGCAGCGTAGTAGCAGAGAGGCCATCGAGATCCAAAAACATCTAAAAAATTTCAATAAGAAGGGTGAGACTCTCAGACTGAATCAGCAAGCCTTCTACCCATCAGCATAATACAACTTTCGCAGAAGATATCGCAGTCCGCATCCAGCATAGGTGTTGGAAGAAGTTCACCACTCGTGTTACCGAAACGTTAGGAAGCAACTCCAACACACGACGGCCTTTAGACCCGAATCAGATCAAATTGTGTTATATTGTTCTGTTATTGTCATTATGTAAATATCTGTCCTAATATATCTATTTCAAATCTTTTGGGTAGGTACCTGTCTGTTGAGCTTCTTGAAAATAACTTTATTACTTTGACTTTTCTATAATCCCTTCCAAACATTCCAACTTCACTTACTAACTATTGTTCCTTCTTAATTCCTTTTCAATGATAGGTTTCTTCGGTGGTTTAGACTTAATATTCTACCTGTCTATTTCTTAGTATTCTCTATATTCATATTTCCAGATTTTATACTCTTCTAATTGGTTCCCTACTTTCATCTAAATACTTCTAGCTCCACCCTAATAGTTCTCCTAACATTTTCATTTCCAAAACACTAACACTTCCAAATTTGGTTTTCTATAGTTCAATTCAATTAATCTTTTGCTAAGTCTTCAACTAGATTCATTTCTTCATATTTCAACTTCTAATTTCATTTTTCCAGTTTTGTAAATATATTGTTAAGTTATAAGTCGCGTTTTATTTCATTTGTTTTATTTTGTTGTTTTACCTTGCAATCCCTAAATTATGATAGAATTCATCTGCCACTTTGAAACTTCATTTAGTCATCCCTGGCATATTAGTGGAGTTAACAAATGTTTTCACTTCGGAAGAATTTGTAACATGGTAAACTTTAGTGAACAACATTCTTCAAACATGCTAGAATAACGTTCAGAGATAATCAGTATAGTCAAAAACACTAAGCTAAACAATAGTGAGGTTTTGATTTCATATTATGTGTACTCTCTGTTTTCTAATGTATCAATTCTACTTTGATATATTTGGAGGATTTAATCAGAATTTTTTCCGCTAATATTGTGCAGCAAAATTATTCTCAGATAAATGGTTTAAATGTTTATGTGATAGAGGGAATAGGTATGGGGAACTCTTATCACACTTATAGCCAATCTTTCCATAAGCTGTTTTAAGAACGACTTAAGCCGTCAAAAGTGTTTTATCGAAGTTGGCTATGATACGTGGAGGATACTTTTGCTATTTTCAATTTAAATTCTGATAGTATCCAAGATTTTCTTCCTAAACTACTTTTACGTTTTCCTCCTGTTAAATTTATCGAAAGGGAAAAAGTTGGGAAGCAGCATGNTGCATAAAGATGTTAGCTAAGGTACTAATTTTGAAGAATATTTCTTGGTTTTATTTTTTTTTTCAAATGTTATAAAAATTATAGAGATAAAACACGAAAATCGCAAATATTTAAGGATGTGGATTGTTATAGTTTTAGGGAGATGAGAAGATTAGCTCAGGATAGGAAAGAGTGGAGGTACGTGTCCAACCAGTTTTAGGACTAACAATCAACGTATATTGCCCATTTTTTATTGACTTCCATAGAGTCTGTTATTCTTTCTAATTCCTCCTCATTTCTAACCTTTTGTATCTACGGTATCCTCATCATTCATCGGTAGCACCACATTTCGAACGCTTCTAAACTTTTATTTTCCGCCGCGCCGACTGTCCATGTTTCACACTCCTACAGCTCCAAACATACACCTTTAACTATCTTTCGAATTTCTAAATTAACCATTCACGAGCATAGAAGTGACTTCTCTTATTGAAGGCGCTTCGACGCTATCCTGTGCTTTATATCTCTACTACTCCATCCGTCCTGGCTTATCTGAATTTCTAGATACCTAAAATCAGCCACTCCTTCTAATTTTTCGTCTCCTATCCTTATATTCGCTCTATCCCTACTTTTTCTTCCCATCCATACCTGTATTTTTGTTTTACTTTTATTTATTTTCGTACAATACTGT